TTTTTTACAGAGAGGAAGGGAGAGGGATAGAGAGTTAGAAACATCGATGAGAGAGAATCATCGATCAGCTGCCTCCTGCACACCTCCTACTGGGGATGTGCCTGCAACCAAGGTACATGCCCTTGACCGGAATCGAACCTGGGACCTTTCAGTCCACAGGCCGACGCTCTATCCACTGAGCCAAACTGGTTAGGGCTATATAAGAGTTTTTTGAAGTTCACAGTCATCTATGCAGTGCAATAGTTGGATTTTTCTGAATGGAGTCATAAGTAGTTTTGAATAGTTATTCTTTTACAAACTTCCCCAATTTTTATTTTGTGTACAATAAGAAAACCATTTTCTTCTGCATGTTTGCTTTTCACATATGCTTTAAGAGAATTTAAATGTAGAGCTTAATCATTTCCAATAACTTTAACAATATACTTTTTTGATAAAAATTATGTACTTTTATTACTGTACCTTCCATGGCTCCTGAGTCTAATTTCCTTAGCAAGCCTTCTGAGAGTTTTTATAATTTGGCCATAACCCATTTTTATAGATTTATCTCTTATCTCTCCTTCTCAATAGATTGTGCTGTAACAACATCAAGCTTTATCCGGTTTCTCCATAAGGCCCTTTCATTCCTTCTGTCTTTGCACATAATAGTCCTTTAACTTGAAATATCAGTTTTTTCCAATTCCCAAAGAATTTCTGCTCATTCTTTAAGGCCCAGTGCAAGTACCACATCCTTTCAAATGCCTTCCCTTACTCTGACAGCAGAAGTAATTCTGTATTAGTTAAGGTAAAGTAAGCTTCTATAGTAGCAGTAACCTCAAAATCTCAATGAGTCAACAATAGAAAATTATTTATTATTCACTAAATTCCAAAATTCTAAAATACTGGTGAGTCGCTCTCCAACAGTGAGTTGGGGACCCAGGCTTCCTCCATCATGTTCCTCTGCCACTTTCAACACCTGTCTTCGGAGTCACATGAAAGGGCAGAAGCAGGAAGGTCTTTATGGGTCAGGCCTGGAAGTGGCTCTCATCACTTTTGTTCACATCCCCTTGGCTAGAACTCAGTCATTTGGCTCCTCATCATAAGTGAGGCAGGAAACAATGTTCTTCCTATGAGCCCAGGAGGAGGAAATAGATTTGATGAGCACATAGACGTCTCTGCCACACACATCCCCTCAACTATTTCCATCACTATTTTCTCAAAATGTTTTTACTATGTCTTAGAATTTTATTTATATGTGGGTTTGCAAAACTGGAATGTGAGCTCATGGAAGGCAAGGTTTTCCCCTCCATTGTTATAGTTCCCATAATCATGACAGCCCCAGCAGTCATGAACAGTCTGTGTAAACTAGTACATTGTCTTTGCAGGTTCTAATCAAAGTCCATGCATGCGGAGTAAACCCAGTGGACACATACATTCGCTCTGGTACTTATAGTAGGAAACCACCCTTACCTTATACTCCTGGTTCAGATGTGGCTGGGGTAATAGAAGCTGTTGGAGAAAATGTATCTGCTTTCAAGGTATTACATTTTTTATTATTTCTATTTTAGCTTAATATTTTTCCTTAAAAGATTTCAACATACTTTTTAAATGTGTCTGTATTTAAGGCTTTAAAAGGCCCCATTACACCATTTTTGCCACTTGGGGGACTCCTCTAGTAACAAAAGAAATTATCTTTTAGCCAGAGGCCCTGTTTATTTGTATTGTTGGGAATAAGTGCAAGGTCATTTATATATCTTCACATCCCCACAGAAATAAACGGTGAACCTTTTAATTTAACAGAAATATGTAAAGGAAAAAAACATGCAAGAAAATTATACTATTCCCTAACTCTTGATAATACACAAACCAACATATTTTTAAATACTTTCTTTAAATTTAGCTTAACAAAGTAAAGAAAATGCTAATAATAAGTAAAAATGAAAGACTGCAAGGTCACTATACATTTTCTGAGCTCTGACTCAGAACAAGGTGATGGAGTCAATGAAAATGTTATGATCAGGGCTTTGTTATTTATTTTCTAAAAGACTTTTAAAGCAGAGAGCGCATATTCATGTTCTAGTATCTTTCCTCATAATTCCTTGACCTGCTCAACTTTGGCCACTTATTTATCCAAAATTGGACTGAGACAGAAGATTAACATGGCCCCTGAACGGAAGACAGGCAGATTCCTACAGCTTTCCACGCCTCAGCCCTGGCAATCTGGCTTCTGCCCCCATCGCTCCACTAAAATGATTCTTGCTAATGTCACTAATAGCATCTATACTGCTGGAGTTAATGGGCCCTTTTATGTCATTATCTCTCTTGACTTTTCTGTGACATTTGACACTCTCAGTCATTTACTGTTTCTTAAAAAAACTTTTTCTACAGCTTCTGTGACATCATTGCTCCTGTTCTTCCCCCGCCCTTCCTTTCGGAGCATCCTTTTCAAGCCTCTTTTTCTCTGGATGCTCCTCAAATCTTGGTTTGCCCAGTGCTCCCTGTCCATACTTAAACCTCTGCTGTTTTTATTGGATACCTTCTTTAAGATGATCTCATGGACACCCACATTTTCCATATCACATGGGTATCTTTTGTTTAGAATTTTCTTTTTTAATATAAACATTTTCTAAATTTTTTATTGAGGTTGTATTTTAAGCTCAACCAAATATTAATCACATAAAAGAATTATTTCTTATGCTTACATGAGGGGCATGTCAAGTCTCAAGTAATGAACATTTTCCTAATATTTAGGCTCCTTTTTAAAAAAATAAATATTATTTTGTATTAGACAAACTTTTTTTTTTATTTTTCAATTACAGTTGACATTCAGTATATTAGGTTCAGCTTTATAGCATAGTGGTTAGACATTTATATAATTTTAAAAATGATCCCCCCCATACGTCTAGCTACTAAGTTCTGGACCTGTGGTAGCCACATTTAAATGGCTGATGGTTATTGAAAATTCAAATTTAACTTAAAATAAAAAAATCAGTTCATCAGTTCCTCAGTTACACTAGCAACCTGTCCAGCGCTCACTAGTCCCAGGTGTCTGGCTTTCCCGTTGGACATGCAGGAGAGAGCAGGGCACCCACTTGGTCCATCTTCCAGAACTGCTTACTCAGTGTGTCTACAACTGAGCCTGTCTTCTCTCACTTCATCTCTGCTCCTCTCTCTCTGATGCCTGTCTTGGTGACTTCCCGGGTTTTAGGCTTATTTCTTCCTCTCCCTCTCTCAGTTCTCCCTTATTAGAACCGTTTTCTCTCTCTTTCCATTCCTCCTCTCTGTAGTTTAGTTTAGGTTGTCTTACGTAGGCCCTTACCTGGATTTCTGTAATAGACACATACCTTACCATCCTCCCTCCTTCCTCTTTGAATCTGTCCTTGCTCTGTAAGGGGTGTATTCTAAAATGTAATTCTGATTGTTTCACAATTAATTACTGTATTCGTTTCGTGTAGATTTTAGGGTATTGTTGAAACTGCTTGTTATGTTATTTTATGCTCTCTCTCCCACCTATCTTTTCTGTCATATTATCTCCCATTCCTTCTCTCCCTGAGCTTAGTAATAATTTTTTGTTCTCCCCTACATAGCCCATGCTCTTTCATCTCTGTGTCTTTATTCATATTGATTCTTTTGTTTGGCAGAATTGAACTGAAACTTATAAACATGGGTTCAAGGGATTTCACACTCCAGCTTTTATTTCTTTTTATCTAACTATTGCAGTCCATACATTAGACTACTTATCCATTGGGAATGAATACTGGCTTTATTTTTCTTGCCACTGTTCCTTTACTTCGTTTCCTTCACCCATAATGACTCTTCCCAATTCTAGTTTTCAATTATTTTCCTATTCTTCAAGAACTACTTCAAATATTAACTTCTCAATAAAGGTATGCTTGATTCTCTCATCTTAGAAATAATTCCTTTCTTTTTCTTGTTTCTGTCTTTGATGGCTCAGCATGTTTACCTTACTTTGTAATTATTTCAATGCTATTTATTTTTCTCTCTTCCTAGAGTGTAAGATGTTTGAGATTAAAGAGAGTTTCTTGCTGCTAAGATCTTTTGCAGAAATTAAAGTACTGCTTTCTATATAGTGGATTCTTAGTAAATGTTTGAATTATGTTAAAATTAATGCAACATGTTTTTAAGCTGTAAAAACAAGATTACTCTTAACCTAGTCATACTGGACCATTTACAGGTAACACTGCTAAGCAGCAATGCTTGTCTTTGACTCCTAGGTGCCTTTTGAATCTTGCTTGTTTATACCCCACTGCATATTGCTGTTACCTTTTCAGATCTTAATTAAAGGACAAATTTAAGTATATTGAGAATTACTGCTTTAATGTTTTGCTTATTCCAGGGAACATTAACTTTTTTTTTTTTTCAAAAAGAGAAGTTAGGGCAGGTGTGTGTAGTGGAAGTCTCATTTCCTAGTGTGCAGGTCATTCTGGGCAGGCCTATGATCTTATCCAGTGCCTTATCTCACCTCCGGTGCATCTGCTCTCCAATAGTAAGGGCCACAGGGACATTTATTGAGAGTTTGCTGTTCCTGGGGCTGTGGCAAGTGAAGAAGCCTGTCCCAGCTCATCCTCTGTCAGCATCCAGGCATAGTGGCCTGCTTTTTGTTGTAAACATGAAAAATGGAGGAAATGCAGGGGTGAAGAAATCTATGGAAATGATTTAGCATAGGTAGTTGGTGTGTGGAAGAAACCTTACTTTTTATTTGTTTCTTCTCCGTAGTGTTTTGGGCAAAAATTGTTTTATTAACTGCCATTTACTAACTCTTTAGTCTGAGCAAATTACTGAACTGTTTCCCTCAATTTCCTTATCTACATAGTAGGATTAATCTAAAGTGGAAATAATAAAAATACCCCTTAAGCTGTTGCAAAGATCAAATTTGATAATAGTCATAAGACACTTAATACAGTACCTAGCACAGTACACTCTCAAGAAAGGTTAATTGTCATTATCATCATTATACCATTCTGGAGGTTCACTTTCTTCTTATTTTTTTTCTCTTTCTCATAATTTTTTCTTCTCACTGATTCCCATTAATAAAATATTTTTAGATATTCAGTATTTTAAAATGATTTTTATGAGACCCTAAGATGTAGAAAACAATATGTAGATACTTATTTCTTGTTATAAAGTTGCATTAAAAAGGGTTGTAGCTCAGGATATTCACTTCATAAGTAACATAAATGTTTAATCCCTATGTTGTACACTAATATTATATTTTATTATACTGTAATTGAAAAAAAAAAGTTTGAAAGAATCATTAAAAAAGAGATTGTACCCATTTCGACATCATTTTTAATCCCTGATGCATGTATTGATTTATTGCTTCCCCAGAAAGGTGACAGAGTTTTCACTGCTGGCACGATCTCAGGGGGCTATGCGGAGTTTGCTGTTGTGGCTGATGACAATGTGTACACACTGCCAGAAAAACTGGACTTTCAGCAAGGAGCTGCCCTCGGTGTTCCATATTTTACTGCGTACCGAGCTCTGCTCCACAGGTACTAACACTGCCAACTATACAACCATCAACAACACAGCAACAACAAAGGAGGGCAGTATTAATTGCTTTTCTTCTTATCATCTGTTTATCATTTTGGGGTACCATTTAGTTACCATTAAGCTTTTATGAAGTGGAAACTGCTAATTCAGGAGATTGTTCTAATTACTGGGGATAAGAAGAGCAAACACTGTCTTTGTGTTCAAGATGCTCACAGTCTAGTAAGGGAGGTAGACATAAGAGGAATAACAGTTATATACTGTAGTCAAAAGTACATGATGGAGATGTGTATAGGGATTTATGAGATCGCAAGGGATGTGCCTATGGTGATGAGATAGGTCTTCCTGGCAAGGTATAAGGCTTGGATTATTTTAAAGCCATGGTTCAAAAATCTGATTATGCAACCATGAAAACTTTTAAACTGCAGTTTAAAAGTACAGTATAGGGCTGTACCCTAGACCCACTGATCAATTTCCATAGCTGAGGCCTGAGAATCTCTATTTTAATCAAATTCCCTGGGTATCTGAAAAAGATCAGAGGGAATTAGCCTGGTGAAGGAGCTGGGAAGGGAGAGGGCATTCTAGACAATGGGATAGTTGGTGTGTGAGAAAACATGGTATCTGGGGAGAGCTATAGCAATGTGGTTTTGTTGGATAGAAGATTTTAAGGCAAAGACTGCGAAAGAATAAGTAATCTCTCAATAAATGTTAGCTGTCATCACCACATCTGTAGGTTTCAGATTGTAAAAGCTAGATTATAAAGCTCACACATTGTTTTTAAGGGATTGAGGGTTCATGAAATGTTTTATTCAGGAGACTGATATTGTCATCTTTTTGTATTATTGGTATCACTTATCAGCTGTATGGAGGATGGATTTGACCATAGGAAAGGAGAAGGAGATGGGAGGGTCTTATTGGAGTATCTTCTAGGCCAGAGCAAGGGTCATGGAGGAAGAGGTGAAGAGAAAAGGTAAATTTTAGAGGTAAAATTGGGAATATTTGGTTGACTACATGTGGAGAATGAGATAAAGGAAGAGCTTAAGAATACTTCTAGCTTTCTAGCTTGAGTAATGTTTAACTGTGACCAAAAAAAAAAAAAAAAAAGAGGAAAAAGTTTCAAAGGGAAGCTGAGTTCAGTTTTGGACCTAAAACTAAGACAGACATCCTAATGGAGAAGTTCAGCAGGCTGTTGAATAAAAGAGTCAGAAGCTTGAAGGCTGGAGGTGTACATTTGGGGATATCAGCATGTGGGTGAGAGCTGACAAGATGAAAGTGATTGAAATCCCTCAGGGAGTGAGAAGAACAGTGGAGTGAGAATGGAGCCTTAGTGAATATCAACATTTAAGGGTATAGTCGGGAGGTACGAGACAGAGTCCCAAGAGAACCAAAAGGAGTTATTCTTAGACAAAGGGAGTCCAGAAGCCATGGTGTCCATTAAACATTTGTTAAGCTCGTGGGCTTTGAAAAAAGGAAGACCTGGGTTGGAGTCCTATCTTTACCCACTACTAGCTATATGACCTTGGTCACGTTACTTTCCTGTTCAGCTTCAGTTTACTGATTTGAAAAACTAATAGCACCTTTCTCATAGGCATGTGGCAAGAATTAAATGAAGTAATGCATACTTCTTAGTATAGAGCCTGGCACAGAATAAGTACTAATTCAGGGTTGATAGTGTTAGGGGTAGTAGTTGATTTTGCTTCTAAGGAGGGAAGCAGCAGCGAGGTGTATTTGGAAAATAGCAGTTGGGCTTAGCAATGAAGAGGTCATTGGTAACTTTAGTCAGATTGTTTTCAGTAGAGTTGTGAAACAGAAGCTGTTTGGGTTGAGGAAGGAAGAGGAAATCTGTTCCTTGAATGGAGACTATTCTTTTAAAAAGGATATCTACACTAATAAAAGAGAAACATGGTAATTGGCGTACGACCGCTACCCTTCCCATTGGCTAATCAGGGAGATATGCAAATTAACTGACAGCCAAGATGGCAGCCGGCAGCCAGGCAGCT